TTTTATTTTTCGTATTATTATTATTATTAGTATCATGTGCTAGTGATGATGATGAGGAGGAAGATGAGGAAAAGGAGGAGGATAAGGAGCATGAGGAGGAGGAGGCGTATGAGGAGGAGGAGGCGGAAAAGGATGATGACGATGACGATGATGATGCTGATGATTGTGGTGGTGGTGGTGACGATGATGACGCTGCTGCTTATGATGATTATGATGATGATGTTGACGATGACGATGTTGATGCTGATGCTGATGATAATGATGCTGATGCTGCTTATGGTGATACTGATGATGATGATGATGCTGATAATGATGATGATGCTGCTTATGCTGAGAATGATGATTAGGCCGATGTTGATGATGCTGATTCTGATGATGATGATGGTGATGCTGATGATATGGTTGTTGACGATTATGATGATGCTGTTGTTTTTGATGATGGTCATGTTGAGGATGATGATGCTGATGATGCTGATGATGCTGCTGATGATGATGCTGATGATGACGATGACGACGACGAAAACGATGACGATGATGATGCTGATGATTACGATGGTGATGATGATGATGATGATGCTGCTGTTGATGATGGTGCCGATGATGATGATGATTCTGATGATGATGATGCTGATGCTGATGTTGACGATGACGATTCTGATGCTGATGCTGATGCTGATGATGATGATCATGATGCTGATGATGCTGATGTTGATGATGCTGCTGATGATGATGATGCTGATGATGATCATGCTGCTGATGATGATGATGTTGATGATGTTGTTGTTGTTGTGGTTGTTGTTGTTGATGATGATGATGATAATTATAATAACGATGATTTGACTTGCTGGCTATAGGCAGGATGCGGCGGGGGGAGTCAGAAGAGGAGGGGGAGGCTGAGACGGGAGATAATCAACGAAAGGAGATGGAGAAGGAGGAGGAGGAGGAGGAGGAGGAGGAGGAAGAGGAGGATGATGAAGATGAGGAGGAGGTTGAGGAAGGATAGTGATAATAATATTAATAGTACTTGTAATAATACTACTAATAATAATCATAACAATAATAAGGATAATAATAACAATAAACCAGAGGATGATGATGATGATGATGATGACGATGATGATGATGATGATGATGATGATGATGATGATGATGAGGATGAGGATGAGGATGAGGATGAGGATGATGATGATGATGATGACGACGACGACGACGACGATGATGATGATGATGATGATGATGATGATGATGATGATGGTGGTGGTGGTGGTGGTGAGATGATGATAATGATGATGATGATGATGATGATGAGGAGGAGGAGGAGGAGGAGGAGGAGGAGGAGGAGGAGGAGGAGGAGGAGGAGGAGGAGGAGGAGGAGAGGAGGAGGAGGAGGAGGAGGGAAAGGAGGATAATGTGGCTGGAGAGGAGTCAAAAGAGGAGAGGGAGGATGAGGCCAGAGAGAATAAACAAGAGGAGGTGGAGAAGGGAGGAGGAGGAGGAGGAGGAGGAGGAGGAGGAGGAGGAGGAGGAAGAGGAGGAGGATGTGGGTGAAGGAGGGCGGTTCGGGTCGGGTCATGTGGTGGACGGGCTCCTGAGCCTGCCTGAGCCGGCGCGTCGGCTGCCGCACAGTGAGCCATTCGGTCGTATGCCCGCCCTCTGCAAGGCAGTGCCAACGGGCAACACAGGGGCGCCACGGCTCTACCCCGCGGCCCCCACAGGCCTCGGGGTAGAGCCCACGACAAGCGAGCCCAGTCCAGCCGTGGCGACGCTGAGACCCGCGGCTGAAAGGAGCAGAAACGCCGAAACGCTGGCCCCCACTCAGCTCGCGACATCCTCACTTCCGAGCCCGGGGCCATAGCTCGAAAGTGTCCCTCCAGCGAGGGTTGTCACAGCCTGGTCCAGGAAGTGGCTCTTTGTGTCGAGCGCCATCCCCGGGTGACTCGCGAGCACCATCTTGCCGCCCGCGGTCCTCATCTCCAGCTGCTCGTGCAGGCTCTTATTGAGCTGGGTCACCAGCACCGGCTGGAGCAAGGCACGGAGCTCCGCTTCGATCTCGTCGCCCACCTGGCGCCCGCGGTGCTCGTCCCCCCACCTCCTCGAAGACCAGCTTCTTGTACTTCCTCTGGCGGTGGCCAGACTTGGTCTCGCCGCTGGGCCTCCCTCCAGTCGGAGTGGCGCCCGAAAACTGGGAACTGCTGCCCGTCGCGGATGATGTTGCCTGGACCTCGCTCGTCATCGGCCCAGGCTCGCCACCTCCGCTTCCGGCCACCTCGCAGCCCACCTCGGAAAACCGACTTTCTCCGTCTTGGCCCCCGTCCATGGGGACTCCGGCTCCTTCCTCCGAGCTCGGGCCAAAATGGGCGCTCCCGAACTCAGCCTGGTCGTCGATTGTGAGGTCGACGACTACTCCTCCTCCTACCAGCAGGGCTGTGTTGAGCTTCCCGTTGGAGGCTTCAATGACCAGCTCCAGGTCCCAGTCCGCCTCCAAACAGTCCGCCCGCTTCGCCTGCTGGGGTTCCGCCGTCGCCGGGTGTTCAGCGCCTCTTCCCTCCACTTTGGCGACCACTGCCAGCTGGAGCTCTGGCCCTGGTGGCCAGTCCAACTCAGGAGCGAAAGAAGGACGTACATGTACATGAATCCACGCTGGTTTCGAGAGTCCGCATTGCGCAAATGTTCGTATAACGCGGCCGGTCTCGCGGATCGAGGGGCCGTGTTCATGTACATAGCTGGGCGCGTACGTCCTTTGTGGGCTCCCTACCAACTCAGCCCAACTCTTCCGTGTCGCTGGCCCAGCTGCCTTCCGGGGCGGGGTCGGGGCCTCCGCTTGCTTGGCC